TGGTCGATAGTTAGACGCAAGTGATCTATCTCCTTTCTTAAAAACTGGTATCACATTAGCAACTTTCCAAAACTCTGGCACTCTGCCTGACTCTATTGATTTATTAAATATGGTTGACAGTGGGTCACAAAGCTCCTCTTTGCATTCTTTAAGCACCCTGGCAAACACTTCATCCGGCCCTGGGGCTTTGTTTGGTTTGAGTTTTACTATTTGTTTAAGAACATCCTCCCTGGTAACTGTTAAACTCGTCAACCTGTCCTCGTCCCCACCCACATAGACTTGTTCGGCTGAAGGCATATTGTTAAGTTCCTCTTTAGTAAATACAGATACAAAATATTTATTAAAAATACTACTCATCTCTTCATCACTATCTGTTATTTGACCTGTCTCAGTTTTTAATGGACCTATCCTTTCCCTAGTCTTAGTACGATATAACTGAAAAAACCCTTTAGGATTTGTCTTTGCTTGCCCTGCTATGCGAACTTCATAGTTTCTTTTTGCTTTCCTTATCTCTTTTTTAACATTTCTAACCAGTTGTACGAATTCCTGTTCTAAAGTGACCTCCCCATTTTTAATCCTTTTGTACCAAGCTCTCTTTTTACCTATAAGGTTCTTCAAATTCTTTGTTATCCACTTTGGGTCATTTGTATTCGATCTATTCAATTTGTATGGTATACTACGTTCCTGTGCTTTGTTTAGAATATTCTTAAATAAGTTATATATTGAATCCACATCGAAATCCCCATTTAAGTCACCTATCGCTGGGTTCATGTCTCGCTCCAAGACCGGCCCACACCCCATACCCAAGACTTTCCAATCAATTTGACCCAAAAAATTTCTTAGGCTATTAAAATCAGCTTTTCGAAAATCTGGCACTTTAACAGAATTTTCTCCTACTGGTCTATTCCATTCTATGCTAAATCTGATTTCTTTGTGATCACTGCTCCCTAGCTCACTCCCTATTTCGATGTCATTAATTTGCGTTTCCCTGTTAGTTAACACTAAATCTAAAATATTATTTTCCCGTGTTGGTTCCTTAATGTGTTGCGTAAGAAAGCAATCGTCAATTAATTCTAGAAAATCTTCTGCTTCACTATTCCCTGTTTTGTTCAACCAGTTTATTCCGCTAAAATTAAAGTCACCCATGACATAAATACTGTTAGATCTAGATGCTCTAGATATTTCATCCCATAGGTGCTTTGCTTCCATTCTGTCTAAATTTGGTGGCCTATATATTACTCCTATTATAATATTATTTGCTTTTTCGTTTAATTCTATCCAAATAGTTTCTGTGTGTGGCTCTGTTTTGATTCCCTCTTTGAGACTACATTTCAAATTGTCCCTAACATATATGGCTACTCCCCCTCCTCGTCTAATATATCTATCTGAGTGAAATAGTTTAAATCCATATATTTGATATTCAGCTAATAGTTCTCTATTTTCTACATTCATCCACGTTTCGGTAAGTGCAATAATATCTATTTTTTCTGTGCAGACAAGAGCATTTAATTCGTTAATTTTATTTCTTAGACTTCTACTGTTAGTGTAATATACCCTAAGTGAATTGTTATTTTGCGGACCTTCTCTTTCCCTGATCATTTTGCCAATTCCTTTCTCCCACAAACACATACTTTTATTACCTCCTTCCTCCAAATCAATTCCCATACCTCTATCTACTAACAGTTTAAACCCAAACAAACACCTCTAACCACTTCTTCCAACGAGTTCGCAACAGCAACAACCCCAGCTCTCGATAGATGCACCCCATCACGAGCATACATTTCATTTTTTCCATAGAAGTGTTCCCAGTTGTCTATGAAAGATATTGCATTTGATTTGCAATATCTTTCCAGCCGGCAATTGACACCAAGTGCCCTCGATATCCATTCATTTCCCACTCCCTTTCTTGGAAGAATGCCACATATGATCGGGATTCCTCCCTTGCTCCTAACTAATTCTATGGCTGTTTTATACCTCTGAATCAGTTCCTCACTCCTAACTCGACCAACATCATTTCCTCCCACGCTAATGCAAATAATGGGATTGTTCCCATTACCAGCCATAATATCATTCATGTTGTTTATAATATCACCAATGCCAGCTCCGGGATAGCAAACCCTTAACCTGTTCCCCCTATCTCTAGCACAAAACGCTCTATCCAAATACCTTATCTGGGAATCTCCCACAACTAATGTTTGCTTAGGTACTTCCTTTACTTTCTGAGGGGCCTGCGCTTCCTTTCTCTTCGTTGCTTTCCCTTTTGCGCGATCCGCAGTCTCACCACAGCACTCGTCCTCCAAAACGTCAAATGAATTAGAAGTTGCTATGGCGTTTGAAGGCGGCTTTATCAAAGTCTTCTTAAGGCCCCTGTCTTTCACAACTCTCCAAGACGAGGTCCCTTTACTACTGGTCTCCTCCTTCGTTACTTCTCGTTGTTCTTTAAACTGACGCACCTCCTCCCGCAGAGAGTCCAACTCTGTCCTCAGGGCTCCCACTAGAGTCACCAGGTCCTTAACTACAACTTCCATATTGCTATGATACACTCAGGAGCTCCGGTTAACACAACCTCTCACTGTGACTTCACCTGACTGAATGATACCTTTCGTCCTCTTGACATTAAACTCGCCTTTCGACAAACTAACACACTTCGTAGCAATCTAGTTCACACTGCTCCTCCTGCTTCTAATGCTGCTGGTGTCTACTCTATTTCCTGTTCATCTTGTCCTCTCCAATACTTTGGCGAAACTGGCCATACACTGAATGACAGACTTAAAGAACACAAGAGAAGTGTTATGTCTGCAGACACTAACAATGCTCTCTTCTGCCATGTGAGGGATTCTAATCATCCCATTGATTGGTCTTCCTCCAAAATAATCTTTCCTGCCTCTACTCTACACAGACGCCGTCTTGTAGAATCGGCTCTTATTAACAATGTACCCAACATGAACTTGAGTCCTGGCTTTGTTGCTGTGGACTCTTCCCTTTCACAGTATATACTCAAATGCTCTAATCTTTCTAACAAACGTGACTTAACATAAGCTTTCCCCCTTCCATTTCTTTCTTTCTCTTTCCCTTTCTTTCTCTCTTCTCCCTTTTTCTGTTCATTGTCTTCTACGCTCCCTTACTATCCTCTTCTTTTTCCTATTACCATCTCCTTCGGTGGTTATAATAGGAGCTGCCTCGTATGGGCCAATAGGCCTGCTGCAGTTCTCATTACTACTATCCCCTACACCTGACTTTCCTCCTCAGCTCTCTCTTGCCTATTTAATTCCTGTCCCTACCTGTCCTCATCACAATCGACTTGAGAATGGTCCAGGACGGACCGAAACGTCGTCGTCTCTTCAATTTCTAGTGTGTGGTCTGGTCATCATACTTCAGCCACGTTATTGTGACTCATCGCCTGCAAATGTGGGTACCTTAGACAACCTGCCAGCTTCCTGTTCTCGTCGAGGCTGCTAGATTGTTAGTGACCCTCAGGTCATTCATTTAAATATTCAGCATGTATAAGTTACATGAAACTTAGTATTCATTGGCAGTCCAAACTTCAGCTAGATGCTGTTAAGTTGACAGGTCAAGCATAAAGCACATGAAACTCAGCAACTTACTCAGTAACGACTTAGTATGCTAGACTTCAGCTAGATGCTGATTAGTTAAAGTAGTCATAAGTTTAAATTACATAAAACATAGAAACATTGGTACACTAAACTGCAGCTAGTTGCCTCTAAGGTAAGGTGGCCATACTTGAATGAATGTCAACTTTTCCAAATCTTTAAGTCAATGTGGAGAACTACCATTTCATTCATTAACAGGGGGATTTGGCGGGTGCATGGGATAACTTTTGGGTCTTTGTTTGGAGGACGGGCTGGGAGCCGTCCAGCCCGTCCTAGAAAACAAAGACCCAAATGTGATTCCATGCACCCGCCAAACCCCCTGTTTATGAATGAAAAACGGTTTACACACGACTCACAACTGATTTCGTTCGAACACCTCCAGAACAAGTTCTTCACTGACGAATTTTGTTCGAACCACAATGCTATGGATTGCCACAATGCCACTGGACTCCAGATGATAGTGTGTGGTCCGGTTTTGGGTGATGCCGAGGAATTACAGGTAGTCCGTCCTCTGGTGGGAATTGAACTGGCATCCTTGGTCCGTGACGACGACAATGGTGGAGGATGTGCCAAATTGAGCAAAGCGGCGGGAGAGAAATGACTGGGCCACTAAGTTGGTTGTGATGCAGATCACCTTAGATGCAAATGAGGTGGTAGCAGTATTCTGTGGTAAAGATCTTTTAATGTCAAAGTGCACCATCTCAAAACCGTCAGAGGATAACTATAACTTATCCTGATGGCTAGTTTCTTGTGGTGGTGGTGGACTTTGCCCATTGACACTGGAGACAGAAGCGGAATCAAAAACGTTCATCATATTGATACCTAATACACTGTACATTCTGCTGGTGGTGAGCAATGGCCAGACTGTCTCACAGATAACCCTGACATAGTAACTTACCGCCGTAACATGACGAAACTACGACGTTGCTACAACGTTCGAACAAGATATAACACCTTCCAATAAGTTATAAACAACTATTCAACAAGTTGTAACAACTTTCAAACACGTCATACAAATTTTATAACAAGATGAAACAACTTTGTGGCAAGTTGTAACAAAGCACGACTGTTTATTAATTACCGATTATTGACTAATTGATTGTTAAATAATTATATTGTTGATTGATTGTTTAATTAATTATATTGTTGATTGATTGTTTAATTAATTATATTGTTGATTATTACCGTCTCCTCTCTGGGTATCACAGAGTTACACACACCAGTTAGGATAGGATATCAGACCTCCCTTATACATAGTCAGTTCATCTACATTTCACTTAAAAGTAGTTAAAAATTCAGTGGGGTTGAGCTGATATTGTAGGTAATATTGTAAAATATATTTAATCTATATTAGAGTACTTCTTTCAAATTTTGTATGCTCTTTTTAAGGTGATATTCTGTAGCGAGGAGTGTCGGAAACAGAGATTATCAAGCATCCATTGGCAAGAATGTCCTGTTGTGTTAACCCTGCGTCTACTGGACATAAATAATCTTGCATTAGCATACAGATTAATGATGAAGACCTCTCATGCAAAGCTCAAGGAGATGATACCACTACTGCAATGTGAGGCCAAAACTCAGCCTCCCAAGAATTTGGGATTCAATAAAAATAGAATTTATGATGCATCAGATTACAGATCAGTGTATCATCTGACAGCCAACAAGGAAAAGCTATCTGTACACGAAATATTTGCCAGGTGCATAGAAGCTTTTATTGTAACCAAACTTCTGTTGCTGAGTGGTCGCTACTTCATTAGTTGTGATGGTGAGCCCTTCACTCCAAGTCACGAAGACATCGTCCTGACAGGCAGCACACTCATCCATCATATGATGGTCCTGAAGTGCAATAGTTTTTGCATTGCAATTCCCAAGGTAATCCTTCTAGACTATTATTATTATATTCTAAAGCCCTGTCAGCATTCACTTATCACAACCTTAGACACGTGTTTTGCTGACCGAACTAATTATTTAAATATCTATGTTTTCAATGTAATAACCATTGTATTTTATATGATACATTTAAGTTTGTTTAAATAGGCTACTGCTTTTGCTTACAGATTTCCTCCTTGACGTAGTAAATATTTTTCATTCCAGTTTAATGTGAGTGGCAATATGGAACATCATATGGAAGTATGTGGCAAGGGAGTTTACCCTGCATCAAGTCTTTGGAATCACTCCTGCAATCCAAATTGTACTGATTTTTATTATGGTAAAACTGTCGTTATAAGAACAATACAATTCATCCCTGCTGGCAAGTCATTAACCATCTCACTTGGAGTAGATTTTGCTGAAGATAGAAGAGATTCCAGGAAGTTGACCCTGATAACTAATTTCTATTTGACTTGTACCTGCGAAGCTTGTGAAAATAACTGGCCAATTATGATGGATATGCCACGATTGAACATTTTAAAGTGCACCAAATGTAATGAAGGAGAAGGTATCAATCCTTTCACAAAAATTTGCCCTAATTGCAATCTGAATTACGATCAAGGAGGCACACACAGAAGATCACCTAATAACTACAGGCTCATCTGCAAGAAACTAGAAAAGGTTCAGAAGGATTTTTTCATCGCCAAGAAAAACATCTTGCTAGAAGGCAGTAACTCTGAAAAGGACATAAAAGCAGTGCGTGCCTTAATTAAACTTTTCTGCAAGTATGTGAAGCAGCCGAGTTTTGGTCTCCTTTTAGGTCAAGAAACACTGCGCGTTGTCTGTTTACGTCGTGGTTCTTGTGTTTATGTTAAACATAATATAGAAAACACCATGTTTGATCTTCTATGTGCAGAGATGAATCGAGCCCTACATCTGTAGCCATTATTACTAAAGGAGTCTTATAAATTAGACTATGATAAATATTTGTTCTCTCTATCTGTAAATATCTTCAAGTAAAATAGTAATTCCATATTCTATATTTGGTACACTGTAGTTAATTAGTAACGTGAATTTACATGAGGGTCACTAACACTTTAGTGGCCTCAACTAGGACAGGAAGCTGGCGGCTTGACAAATTATCTCTGATGATCTTTATCCAGTAATTATTTTGATTTTCCTGTAATATAATTTCCAGTATGATTTGGGTCTGGTGTATTGTTTCAAAATATTTTATTGTATAAATATTTTTACTGTTCTTTATACTCATTGACCTTAAATGATGCCTGCAAGAAACCTCCTTATTCATACTTTAGCTTTTAGTTTTTATACATACAAATACAATGAAGTTGTGTTTATCCACATTTCTGTGGTGAGAATAAAATTCAAGCTGGTTATAGAACCCTGCCGTTACACGTTACAATTAACTAATCAAAAGAAAATAAAAAATAAAATAATCAATATGCTAATGTAAAATGAAAAAATTACATTTTTATTAAATAAATCATAAACGGTTCCTAATTTACATAAAACTAATTTACTTGTGAAAATAAAAGTGATGGCAAATTATTAAGAACCCATGGCGAAAACTCATGCACTCTAAATAATATTAGAGTCCATGTTTATTTTGCCCTTTTGGGATCCTGCAAGGTTTTCAGTCTATAACTATATCAATTGATTTATAAAAAAAATTAAGAAATGCAACTAATTTTCAATATAATCATGTTTATGAGCAACACATAACAGTCTAAGATGATAAAAAGTTAGGGAAGATGCTATTAATTGAGGAAAATGTTTTTATTTGAAAGTGGGCATTTTGTAAGGACATAGCAAACCAATGGTTCCAACGCTGGAGTGTGATCAATGTAGGTTCAGCCTCCAAAATATGAATTTAGATGAAAATATAAAATGTTTAAATGGGAATGTACCGCAGGTGTCAATTAGGACCAATTTGAACAATTAAAGGCTTCAGCTTGATGGGTAATCTTGGCCCCTAGACCTGGTAAATGCTTCCATCGGTTGGAAACAGTAAACTATCCTCCCACATGCGGTAGTGTGAATTGCGTGCTATTATGCTTTGCCAACTTTAAGTACTTTATTCATAAATGTTTATACATTTAAAGTTGGGTTAGTTTACACAAATTTACAGTAGTTTAATTACCTAAGAGAAAATCATAATAATAACTTAAAATTTAATATTTGTAATTATATACTATATACTGTACTCAAGATTTTGATTTAGAAGCATAAATGACAGAACAATAATGGTGTAGGCAGACAGTATACCACTCCTGTGTTCTCAGGTTTTCTCAGTTACTGGAGATAAGTGTCCGACATGTACGTGAAATTACCAGGCTGTGGTGGAGCTCCAATCTAATAACAATGATGAACCACATGTAGAGAAAAGAGGCATAACTTTTTTTTAAAGCTTAGGGTATTGTGAGAGTGACCCTGCATATCTGCCACAACTGAAACTTACCAGCTAGTCATTTAGAATATATCTCCATACGGCTCAACATCCAACAGTCAGCATAATGAGTGTAGTAATAGATAAGACTACTCATTAACCGTGTATAAGTGGGAAAATGGCTGATAATTAGGCTCGAGTATTAAAAAAAGGAAGTGACCTGTAGCCAGGTGGTGGCTACAAGTGGAGTAAGCACAAGAAACCATTATCAGAGGTATCTCGAGTACCTCGAGGCACCAAACAGCTAAGTAATCCTCTGTTCAAATATAAGTTTATATGTTCAAATATAAGCTTGTATAATCATATATGCAAGTATATATTAATAATACAACATTAGAATAATAATTTTGTTGAACGAAATCCACTCACCCCCTCCCCCCACGCCATAACCCCCGACGAGGACACAAACGGCCAGCTGATTTAAATCTGGTAATGGGGTTGAGGCCTTCAGTTAAGTTAGATAATATTTCTAGGACAAATATACAAAAATAGTTTTTAAATTTATAACATGAACTAACATGAGAAATTATATTGGGAAATGCAAGATATTAAGTCTTTTGTAAGTTTCCCCTGTGTAGTGTGCATGAGTCTTTTTCTGTGATATTTTGTAAATGAAACATCTTTCATTCGTTGGCCTTTTGTTAACAGGACATTTTCATTAGAATTCAGATACCTACACTCAATGTTTACATCATGAATTTTCTGTGTATTACTAAAATTTGTAAACATATAAATCAATGGTAGACAACAATTTTAGGATTTTGTTATTAATTCAAAATTAAGAGGATATCAGATTTAAACAAAAATAATAAATGCTTTAAAACTTTTACTCCCAACATATGGGACTTAAGAAATAGATATAAAAACAACGGCTTTGTGCAGAGATCGAAAAATTCTGAAATTTTGCCTCTGATTCTTCCTGGATGTGTGTGGCTTTGTGCTATGTGTACCTTGTAAATATATCATGTAACCAACCCGTTCTCACACAAGACATCACATATATGACTTAATGCTTAAAGTCAATATGTTGAATGTGATTTAGTACATATGTGATATATTTCCAGTTATCTTTTTTACCAAGGCCCAAACTCTTGCTCACGTACCAATTTACGTCTCACAGTACCCGTCCATCAACGTAGATAGCAGAATAGTCGTGATTGGTTCAATTATAATGAAAATTGTAGTTTTCAGGTCCCACATGGGTTGTGGAATTTACCTACTATTGTCCATGCTCTTAGAATATTACAGATCAGCTATATCCTATTGAAGGCTCGTAGTTTTGTTTTGAGAAATATTAGTTGTTCTTAGTAAATTATAATAAGCACTATAAATTATTACATAGAATAACAGTGCTTCCCCAATCAATATTATATACCATAGTTTGCGCTTTAAAAATCTTTAAAGAATGTTTTGTAGGAATGCTAACAGAAAACGATGTTATGTTGGAATGTTTATGGGGTAAACTACTGCAAACTTGGGGATCACTTCCACCCACAGGAAGGGTATGGAGTCCAATACCATCCACTGGATGTGTATGGCGTCCACTACCACCGACAGGATGGGTATGGGGCTCACAACCACCCACAGGATGGGTATGGGGTCCAATAACACCCACTGGATGTGTATGGCGTCCATTAAAGCCCACAGGATGAGTATAGGTCCAGTGTTGCCCACGGGATTAGTATATAGGGTCCACTACCGCCCACAGGGTTGGTAAAGGGTCTACTACCACCCACAGGGTTGGTAGGGGGTCAACTGCCGCCCACAGGGTCGGTAGGGGGTCCACTGCCACCAACAGGGTCGGTATGGAGTCCACTGCCACCCACAGGGTCGGTATGGGGTCCACTACCGCCCACAGGGGCGGTAGGGGGGTTAACTGCCGCCCACAGGGTCAATATGGGGTCCACTACCGCCCACAGGGTCGGTATGGGGTCTACTGCCACCCACACGGTCGGTATGGAGTCCACTGCCATCCACAGGGTCGGTATGGGGTCCACTACCGCCCACACGGTCGGTATGGAGTCCACTGCCGCCCACAGGGTTGGTATGGGGTCCACTACCGCCCACAGGGTCGGTATGGGGTCTACTGCCACCCACACGGTCGGTATGGAGTCCACTGCCGCCCACAGGGTCGGTATGGGGTCCACTACCGCCCACAGGGTCGGTAGAGCGTCCACAGGGTCAATAGGGGTCCACTACCGCCCACAGTGTTGGTAGGGGGTTCCACTGCCGCCCACAGGGTCGGTAGGGGGTCCACTGCCACCCACAGGGTCGGCAGGGGGGTCCACTACCGCCCACAGGGTCGCTATGAAGTCAACGACCGCCCATAGTGTTTGTATAGTGTCCACTACCGTCCATAGTGTTATTATGGGGTCCACTACCCCTCATAGTGGCGGTAAGGGGGGCCATTACTACCCACAGGGTGTGTCTGGGGTCTATTTTTTCTGTATAGCAGAGGTGGCAATACTGCTTTTCCAATCTCATTTGTTGTTCAATGTAAAATACTTGTTGCTCGACTTGCAACAATTTATATATATATACTGTGTAAATATATATATATATATATATATATATATATATATATATATATATATATATATATATATATATATATATATATATATATATATATATATATATATATATATATATATATATATATATATATATATATATATATATATATATATATATATATATATATATATATATATATATATATATATATATATGTATATAGTATAGTGCCTTTGAAATAATGTACCAATGTGTGTATTTGTTGTATTGTATTGTTGAAATACTTTGTTCACATGAAATACATGTGAAATATTGTTGAAAACATCTTGATGACTTATTAAACCAAAATTATTTATTAGTCAGAAGAAAGACAAAAACGCGATCTATATGTTAAACCTCTACCAGACAAATATTTTAAGTAAAACCGAAGATATTTGTAGTTTTATAAAAGGGGCAGTTTTCATTGCTCGTCGAGCTCGAAAACCGCCGCATTCATCTCAGAACCATGCCTATTTCACGCAGATTCCTTAATAAACGTAAGAGTTTTATATGTCACAAGAAAGATAGAAATATAAGCTTCATTCTAAATACCTTACCATGGGTATATTTAAATTTAAAGCGAAAATACATGTACTTTTATAATAGCCGAGCTTTGACCCCGGACAGATTGATCGACTGAGCAACTCTCTCTCAGAACAATGTTTATTTCACGTGAATTCGTTAATATACATATATGTTTTATATGTCTCAAGAAAGGCAGACATATAAGCTTCACTTTAAACACTTTACCATAGACATATTTAAAGTTCTAATGAAGAAACGTGTATCTTCATTAGAACGACAGAGCAATTCTCTCTCAGATCAATGTTTATTTCACGGGAATTCGTTAATAAACACAAATGTTTTATGTCTTAAGCAAGATAGAAATAAGAGCTTCTTTTTAAATACATTACAATAGTCATATTTATAGCTCAAGTGAAGATACATATATTTTTATAGTAGCGCTCAGTAGCTTGTCGGGCATGGAGTGCAGACGCCTACGCACTTGCCGATATATTGTATAATTAACAAAGATGCGCTAATAAAGCCTAAAATCTTATATGCCTCCAGAAAGACCGAGATATGAACATTATTATGATTGCACCAAATGAAATATATCATGTTCGAGAACAAAGATATATCAATTTTAAATTAAGTTTTGACTCTTGCTCGGGCGAGAGAGATGGGGCGACTCTCGCCCCATCTATTGGAGATTCTGTCCACTCAAACCCTCC